GTTTGAAAACATTATCAACTAAAGAGTATTTACTAAAGTTGTCCAAATAGTAGCTAGGGCTAAGCCTACGACTGCAAAGAAACGCCGGGGGGGGGGGGGGCATGAAAAGAGTTGAAGCGGCCGGCAGCTCCTCCCTTGGGCTTACCATCCATCATTAAGCCGAACAATAATGAAAGGAAATAGCGCGGTTTCAAACGCGTTCGGCGTTCCGCAGTGCAATTCCCGCTCCTCCACCCCTTCCCCTCCCGCCCCTTTCAGGGACCTTGCCTAAGTATAAACGTGGTGCATGGTACCACGAATGATTTGCAGACAGCTTCGACACAACTGAAGACAATGTTCATTTGATTTTAATAAACGAATGGACAACACAATATTTGACTAAAAATATCTGCACAAATCTCGTTCACACCAGAAGAGAGCGGCGACAACGCGCGACATTTTCGATCTACGAAAAAATCGATAATTAATGATGAAACTGACATAAAACCGTAAGGTAATGCATAAGATGCGGCGACAAGACATAGTTATTCGGAAACGTACAATGTGACTCTTCTAGGAAACATCCGTGACTAAAATGTGCTATCTTGGTAACTAATCGATATCGATTGGTTTATTGATTGATTGTGCGTGGAAAAGCAGAAAAGAATTGGGTGGTGGCAGGGTGGATGACGGCCGGAGAGGAGTTTGACGACGACACAAACAACCGGTAGCGCATAGACAGACAGGAAGAGCAACATGGGCTTGGGCAGAGAACCAGACAGTGTCGCGGCGCGGTCTGCGGGCGTACGCGACACAGAGCGCGCTCTGCGAATGTATAGATGAACACAAATGCACCATATGAAATGAATAGATATCGATCGACGAGACAGTGAACAAATATATTATATAATAATAATGATGATGATGTGGAATGATTTCGACTGTTGGTCTGAATCGTATTTGGCATTGCTTGAGTAGAAATCCCTAGAATTCGGAACACGGACGGGCGACAAATCAATAATACATTAATATCTAGACGTTCGATGTGTACAAAGTTAGTTTTCGCACACGCGACGCAGAACCGCCCACTTGCGTCGCGTGTCGATTTCCGATGATGATCGATAATCGATTAGGCGACCAATCGGAAAATCGAGCAATTCGCTTCGGGAAGATCGTTCACTTCGAACACGAAACCGATTACCATAAGTGTTTCGCCAGTGGCTTGATTGGTGACAACCTAAATGCACACATTATCGATTTTGTTCATGGGTAGGACATGAGAGTCAGGATCTAAACAGATTCAGAAAATATTGATTTTGTAAGTTTGGCGGAGGTGGTGCAGTGGCAACAGGCGCCACTTTCAGAGGGTCAAATCCCCGATCGAATTTCCACAAAGCCAATTAGGACACATAGAATTCCTGAGCGTTAACTTACATATAGCACACCCGTTTGGGAGGACAAAAGCAATGTTATGACGGCCCCTCCCCCCCCTCGCAGTCAAAGTTGAATTGCATCAAAATCCCACCACATCTGGGTGGGGGAAGAATGGCGCGGTGATGCACAATGGTGGTGATAACGGCCGATGCCTTCCATTCTGCTTGAGGTACGTAAATAAAAGGGGAGTGGAAGGGAGGTGCAAGTTGCCTCGTGTGCATATACATGGGCCCCACTTCTTCAGGGGGAAGAGCTTGAATATGATCGAAAAAAGGCAAGCGAAGTAGTTCATGCACGTCCGGATTTTCTTCCCACAGAGAAAATTGTTAGCTGTAGGCGTACGATGCTATTCGCCCCCAATCCATCAATCCCCTGCTCCCCCCCCCCCCCCCATTGAATTGGGGAAAGATGTATTGTGATTGATCAAGCGAACAAAATAACCGGCGTCGTTTAAGAATTGCTGCGGTGGAGTGTTTGCAAAATTGAATAATCACGCAAACACCTTAAGAAAAATTGCAAAATCTTAGGCGTAAGTGCCTCTCCCATTTTTTTTTTCACCAAGGGCCCTTTTTCAAAATGGAGAAAAAGAAAAGTTTAAAATCAATTACCTGAAGGACAGTGAAGTTCTCGAGCACGTTGTTCATGTAGTCACGTGATTCGAGTTTTTTCAATTCCGAAATGAATTTCACCATGTACTCGCAAATTGGTGAACGTTCCAGTCGGAATGAGTAATGGCCGTTCTCCTCATCAGGGGAATAGACCTGAAATGAAGGATTTTTTAAAAATTAGGTGGACAATCGCGATTTTCGGCTTGTCGTGGAGCATAAATCGTGGCATGTGCCTTGTTATCCCTCATTAATAACTGTGCATTGATATCATATTGAGAACTTTACCTCAACTTTTTCGACGACCTCATTTCCAAACGAGCAGACCTTCGTTGGAAACGCTGATGTCGAAACTTTTGGCTGAGAATGATAGTACGAATCGACCGCGTACAGGCTGTTCCTGAACCGATTTTTCCCATAGAAATTCGAGGAACGTTGTGACAGAGAAATTCAGAAAAATTGATATGTTCGGAGTAAATATATGTGAGCCTTTACCCATCAGCTTCCCGCACCACATATTCGACTAGGCTACATATCTGCCACTTCAGGCGTGCGGCGAAGCTGGTGAACCCTTTTGTAATTCTTATGCCCGCCACTGAATGGCGGATGCAGTTTAATCCACTCCTAACTGAGCAAGAATGCTTCACTGTCAGAGGTTCAGCATGAAACGTGACGCGACTTCGCCAGATTGGCCAGTGAAGGCAGGTTTGATCCTAATCAAGATTTTTAGACACCAGGAGTGAAGCGTCCCATCCGATGGGTGGCTTGATGGCAGTGTTTGTATTCAGAAGGAGGGGAAGGTATTTCAGCAAGTGGTGAGGCGAGCGTTGAAGAAATGATACTCAGAAGTCAATGAGGTGGGTGGGCTGTGAGATTTTGAGGGAGCGCTAAAAAATATCCTGCCTGTTCACTTGTTTATCCTCGCATTAGCATTTACACCACCCCCTCCTCTCAGACTCACACGGAGGTGCTCCTAGTGAATAAAGCTGCGAAAAGACGGCGGGTAGGAGAGTAATAGTAGATTGGTTGTTTAGAGGTGAAAGGGGTTTTTCTTTGAAAGAATGCTTTCTACCACTACCGCTGCTCTCGCGCAGCGGGGAATTTCCAATAGCTTGCTTGAATATCCCCTTTTAGACCTACCGTCCTTTCACAAGTCAATCTGTAGCTACCCCACCCACACCACTGGATTCCAATTTTAGCCTGTACGGAACGCTAGGACGTGCCCTCCTAGAAAACCCAAGCAGCGATGAAATTCCCCACAATTTGCGTACTCAGTGAGACTCATCGAGTCGAAAGCGTAACTAGTACTCTTATAACGTTTAATGGCAACAAGGCCATGAAAGAAAAAACTGGAACTAACTCAGTATCGGAGGAGTCAAACGAGACATTTGCCCAGCATTTGGCAAGGAAAAACGCATCCGATGGGCCACGTTCGAAGAGTTCCGTGAGCAACTTTGGGTACTTTTCGATTACCGTATCCAGTTTGAGCGTCTAAAAACACAGTTTTGTTGTAGGCATTTACGTGCTTCCCTTCAAATCCTTAACCCGACCTTCATGTCGGACAGGGGGTGCCCCCCTAAAAAAGGCCTAAGAAGCGCTCACCTCAGTCTCGACGACATCTCGGGGAATACTAACAATATCGACACGAGGGCCTCCATGTGGTGATTCGAGATAGCTGTAAACGAAAACGTTGAGGAGAACTCGCCGACTTGTGTACCACGACAACTCGTCCAAATGCGAAAGGTGAACTTACGCTTGGAATCCAGTAAGTCGAAGCTTGGACGAAGCAATACCGTCGGCGGTTTTCTTGGCGACTGCGGCAGCTGCAGCGGCAGCAGCGGCGGCTGGCGGTGGCACAACCGCGGCGGCGAACGGCAACGCGAATTCTGGTGCCATACTGAAAACGGGACGAGTTTGTAGGAGCTCTTGAAAAGGGGCGGGGTCACGGGAAAAGTACTCAAGCACAACTTTTCTGCACTAAAGTGCAGAGAATGCTTCCTGTTCACGTTTTAAAACGTACCTCTGGGTAAAATAAAAGTTCAAGAAAATTTCTATTGATTTATTGATTACTCCGTTCTTTTAATAGCTCTGTAATTTGCAGGAATTCACGAGATCTCTTGCAAGTTGCAATTTCTTCATAGCCCCTTGGAATTGCTTTTGTGCAAGAGGTGCACGGTTTTATTGATGTTGAATTGGTCGACGGGTTTTTTCGGCATTCACCTCAATAGCACTACTTAAGCGCGGTGGATGGCGGTTGAGTACCGTCCGAAGACCTTGGACAGCTGAATGAACAACGCGTGGCGGCTCTCAGCGAGACGTGAGGACAATGATTAACAGCTGGTAATCGATTGAGTACGTGAAAATTGGTGTACGGTAGTTGATGAGGATCGTTGGAAAAACCTTACAGGGTTAAAGGACGTAGAACAGTCCGGTAGAACCGCATAAGTACGCAGTAAGGGCGATACTAATAGAGCCTACCCTACCCGAATGATAATGTTTGAGTATTGAACTTAAAAATTTCCACAACAAGGGATTTACCCAGTCTACTTGGCTTAGCTTGGACTGGAGCCAAATAAATATTTAAAAAATTGAAATATT